TCTCTTGAACTTCCCACGCTCTTGTGGTGAACTAAGAACACGCTTATCTCCCTGAGCCTGGCCTTCATAATACCATTCCATCACAGCATCCCTCACAGATCCTTTCTGCGTGAGAGGTTCCTGCAGTTTATCTGGATTTGAGACCTAGTTTCTAATTTACTTTTCTAATTATGGCAGATGGCTACTTGCCACTAATTTCAACATTTTCTTTGTACTTTTCTCCCATCCCTCCAAAAGATTCTGTAATTGTTTTTGTGACTCTCACAGATCAAGACCGGTTTAAGAAGTAAGTGACAAGATGATGCGGTGGAGCACACATTCTGGGCGCTTCTGGTATTGAGAGCCGCTTGGGGGTATCCAACCAGAAGGTCAACGTGATGACGGCCTGGTCTATGGTGGAAAGGCTGAAAATGGAGAAGAGGCACTCCCAAGAAGAGAGGACTGTTGAGCAAGATGGTGGAGATTGCAGCACTGAATCTGAAGAATGGACAAGCTCCGAGAGTGAACCTGAGCAGCCTTGCCTCAAGAGTAGCTCCAGCAGCACCCTGTGGAGGGAGAAGGACCTTCCGCACAAGCCGCACCGGCAGCTTTGCCGTTCTCCTTGCTTGGATCATCCGAGTTTCTCCCAAAACAGTCTTCTTCAGGATTTAAAACTGGAAGATGGTAAAGCAAACTCAGACAAAGAATATCAAGCTAAAATTGATTTTGCTTTAAAACTGGGCTATGCAGGGGATCAGATTCAAGCTGTGTTGAACAAGTTGGGGGCAGATGCTCTCATCAATGATATTTTGGCTGAACTTGTGAGACTTGGAAGCAAGGCTGAGAATGAAGGACCGACTAGTCTTGGAAGTACCACTGCTCCTGCGGGTGGAACGGCTACAAAAGAGGTTGCCAGTCCTGAGCTGTCCTTGGAGGAAGAAGTCGTGGACAGTTCTGATAACTTGAGACCAATTGTAATTGATGGAAGTAATGTGGCAATGAGGTAGTTCATACTTTTGTACCATTTTTATTCCACTTAAACCCCTCCTTTCTCTTGCATAAAAACCCTTCAAAGAAATCAGCATCCAGATAAATGTTTATTTCAAACATGGATAAGAATATACCACATGGATTCAAATGGCAAATTGTTCAGAGTATTCCTTACATTCAAACAACCAGGTACATCAGATATCACCTTGACAGGTGTGAATCTGCCTATCCAGTGAGAACATCCTGAGAAGGCTCTCAAAGAGTCCCTCCTCATTGGAAGTTAGAGTGATGTGGACCAGATCGGAGGCCTTTTCTGTTTTGTCCCCCTCACTTTGAACTCTTTATCCCTGGAGGTCTATGCAGCCCCCTCCTTCCTACGGCCCTATTCCATTGAGCTTTTACCCCTAGTTGATTGCTGGAGGTGTCCATTTTGGGAGAGATGTTTAGAGTTCATGTCTCTTGAACTGTTCTACATTCTTGCACCATTGCAATCTGCTCAGAGTCTTCTGATTTCAGGCATGTTGTAAAAACAAATTTATTTTATTCTATTTGGATGCTGCTCAACTCCAGCTGACTCTGGGTGACTCACAACAATAAAATAACAAAAACAAGATGCAGACAACAGATAAAAATAAGCAACTACCAAATAATCACAAAGTGGCAACTCAGCAACACAGAAGACATAAAACCTCAAAGGGGGTGGTGGTGGTGATATCCCATCTACCCTACCCCAGGGCCTGGGTAAGAAGCCAGGTCTCTAGACTTTCCAGAATGTCATCAGGATGGGAACCGTATGGGTCTCGGGGATCTCATTCTAGAGGAGAGATGCTGCCAATAAATAAATAAATCTCAGAAGGCCTTCTGGAATATGTGAATCTTAAGTGCACATGTGGGTAAAAATTCAAACATTGATGTCATCAGTAAACAGTATAATCAGATCTTAAGCTGCTTCTACAACTCTTGGAGCTAGGTCTCATTATTTCTTAGTAGACCTGTACTACATCATGGAATGAAAATTACACATCTTTGATTTTCATGATTTATTTATGCTAATAAAAATGAAATTTACAGCAGTAAATTGTCACTATAGTGTCTACATATTATGGAGATTTGCTTTTCTCTTCAGCATAATTGTATGAGCATTTTAAGATTTGATGACGTTTTGTTAAACACCAGAGTTACAAGCAGGCCTTGTTAAAATCCATTGACATCAAATTATTCCCCCTCCCCAAAACATTAGAAAACAGAGTGAAGTTTGTTTTTTCTAGATCATTTTAACATTGTCTACTAAATTTTAATAAATATCTTCCCCTTTTTATGTATTACATTTTTATCTCATTCATCTTAACTCAGGATATATCTCAGAATTCTCCAAATTATTTTTGTTTTCAGCCATGGAAATAAAGAAGGATTTTCTTGTCGAGGGATTCAGTTAGCTGTTGACTGGTTTCTGGAAAAGGGTCACAAAGATATAACAGTATTTGTGCCAGCCTGGAGGAAAGAACAGAGTCGACCAGATGCTCCAATTTCAGGTAATCACTTCAGGAATTGGCATAAGTGTTTTCATACCAAAGATGAGGATCTTTTCAATAAGATGACTCAGTTACTCTGTCTGCTATAATGGAGAGTATTTGCATACTGTGTTTGCATACTATAATGGAAGGAATTTGCATGCCCAGCTAAATCTTGTTGGCTACATTAAAGCTTACACTGAGGAATGTTTTGAACCAAATAAGTTGACTGAGTATTCAGTGAGATAGAATACAAAAGTACCAATTTGCTTAAGATTGTTGGGTAATGAGATTAAGAGAAAACAAGGTATATAAATTATCAACCTTTATATCAAAAGAAAAACTTAAACATAAAATATATCTTCAACAATACAAAAGTGACAACAAAGAATATAAATATAATATAAATATACCAGACAGCAGGGAATAAGCAGTAAGCCTAAAAAGGTAAAATCAGGAAAGCAGCAGAACAAATAAGAGGAAGGATGCTTCTCTTATCCAGAGTTTGCCACCTGATTCTAATAGTTCAGCCAAAAACAATCTCTATAGTTAATACTGTTAAAGGTATAGATCTTGCAAATGTCCAACACCCCTTCTCAAGATCTTATCAGCATAATCATTATTAACCAGAATTAAACATATTCAACATTTCACGAAAATGTACAAATTTTTCTCTTGTTAATGGTTTGGTTAAAATGTTAGCAACCATTTCATCTGTAGGGCAATATATAATATCTATTAGTCCTTTCTGGTATAAATCCTTTACAAATTGACACCTTAATCCAATTGCTCTACTTTTTGCCTTAATACTTTCTCCTTTACAACACAAATACAATGCAAAATACTTTAATGACCAAGTATAAAATATATACAAGGAATTTGTCTTCGGTGATGAACAGCAAGATCAACA